GTCCTGCAGGACATGGCCATTCTTCGACCTGCGCACGGAGGAGGGACCCCCATCTTTTATGGCATCTTTTCTTCCCAGTGGTGAGGGGTCCTGCTGTGGAGAGTTACAGGGTGGGCGACACCTGGGCTCGGTGGGGTCAAAGCTCTGTCCTCCGGAGTCGGGGGTGCTTCCCCGCGCCCTGGAGCATCTCTCGTGCGGCATCGCATTTGTCGGGGTGAGTTGCCTTCCCCAATTTCCTCCAAATATCTGGCTCGAACATGTGGCTGCCTCTTCTAGGGAAGGGGCTGCCATGTCTGCTGTGTGTGCCTTCCGCCCACAAGACATTCGGACGGTGCTGAATGGTTCCTTCAGAGAGCTGAGACATGACTGCAACAGGGGACTGCCTGTCATGGACAATGACGTGCCGCAGCCCAGACCCGGGGAGGTGAGGGGGCAGGGGACAGTTCCTTATCCCACGCGGTGCCTGAATTGCCCCTTTAGGACCAGGCCCATCTAAGCATCACAGACACTTCCCGGCCCCTGGGAAGCCTGGCCGTGCACCCTGTGTTTCCCCCTAGTGCATCACCAACAACATGAAGCTCCAGCAGTTCAGCTCCTCGCTCTTCCTGCCTGACCGTGTGCTCACCTTCATCCGGGACCACCCACTCATGGACAAGCCAGTGTTTCCAGCGGATGGCCACTCCGTGCTGGTCACTACAGATACAGCCTATCTCAGGCTCGTGGCCCACAGGGTGCCCAGCCTCTCAGGGAAAGAGTATGATGTGCTCTACCTGGGGACAGGTATGTGTCATGGCCAAGCAAGCTGCCTATCCAGTGCACACAGGCTCTTGTCACGGGGGCCCCATACGTACAGGTGTCAGAGTCACAGGCACAGGGATGCCTGCATTACCACGTCTTGCCCCTTGCCTGTTTCCTAGGGGATGGACACCTCCACCGAGCAGTGCAGATCGGGGCCCAGCTCAGCGTCCTCGAGGATCTGGCCCTATTCCCAGAGCCGCAGCCAGTTGACAGTATGAAATTGTATCAAGTGAGTTGTAGCTTTCAGCAAATCTGGTGGGGAGACGGCCGAGTCCAGGGCCAGTCTGTGACCCTGAGGTCTGGGAGACCCAGTGCATCCTTCTTCCCCACTCCCTTTCCGTAGAACTGGCTCCTGATTGGCTCCCGAACTGAGGTGACGCAAGTGAACACAACCGACTGCGGCCGTCTCCAGAGCTGCTCGGAGTGCATCCTGGCCCAGGACCCTGTCTGCGCCTGGAGCTTCCGGCTGGATGCGTGTGTGGCCCATGCCGGGGAGCGTGGAGGGTGAGTGGCTGCGCTGCTCACTCGCTTGATATCCTGGGGCTCCGGCCCACCCACGTCTGTCTGTGTTTCTCATCTGTTAATGCTGCCCTGTCTCTGTTTGTGTGTTTCTTAGGGTCTCTTGTGTATCCATCTGTCAGTCTGTGCTAACTTACCTGTCTGTCCATCTGGTGCTGTCCCATCAGTGTCTCCACCTCTCTGCTGGACCTTCCTTGACTGTGTGATTGATTTCCACATGGTCATTCACTTCGTTTTCATTTTACAAGAGCTCTTAGAAGCATTCTCACAGCTGACAAATCCCTCCTTCCCTCCTTGAAATACACGATCCTCTCGCCTCCGAGGACTCTGCGTTCTCCTGATTTTCCTCCCTACCTCACCAGTCTGTCTCCCTTACTGGTTCCTTTTCCATCCAGCTTTTTTTTAATTTTTTACTTTTTATTGAAGTATAGTCAGTTTACAATGTTGTGTCAATTTCTGGTGTACAGCCCAATTCTTCAGTTGTACATGAATATACATATATTCGTTTCCATATTCTTTTTCACTGTAAGTTACTGCAAGCTATTGAATATATTTCCCTGTGCTATACAGTATGTACTTGTTTATCTATTTTATATATACCTGTCAGTATCTGCAAATCTCGAACTCCCAGTTCATCCCTTCCCACCTGGTAACTATAAGTGTGTTTTCTATGTCTGTGAGTCTGTTTCTGTTTTATGTATGAATCCAGCTCCTTCCTCAGGGTCCAGTCTTTACACTTTCACACGTTCTGTGGATGATTCATTCCCCCTGTGTTCAGTACCAGCTGAGAGCTAGTGACAACCACGGATGCATCCTTAGCTGAACTATTTTTCTGAAACAAAAAGTCATCTTACTGACCCTCTCAGAATTTTGATTAGCTTTTATAGAAAAGAAATTTTCTCTTTCCCTTAATAGAGAAATCTTTTAACAGAGAAGATTTCCAGAGAGATCTTGTGGTTGTGGACAGCCAGTTAACATTTCTTGGAAAGTCCCTTTGTTTCTTTTAAATCACCCCCACCAGACTTCTTCCTGATAGACCTCAAGCAAATTTAATTCTCTGTAGTCTGCTAGAAGTATTTGTAGAATTTGACGTGGCAAGTGTCATGATTATAAGAGGTACTGGGGAAAAATTTGGTGATGAAGAGAATGTTGACAGATAATTCTTAAAGTGATTTATGAGATGATGGGGACTGTACCGGATGAGTGAATGTTCACTGGTGCTGAGGAGGGTGGAAGGGGATGCTGACACTGGATTGATCAAGCATTCTCTTCTTTATAGGTTGGTCCAAGACATAGAGTCAGCGGATGTCTCTTCTTTGTGTCCTAAAGAGCCCGGAGGTGCGTATGGTTTAGGGAAACGTGGGTGGAGTGGATGGAAGGGGCACAGAGAATTGTCCTCTTTGGACCTACGTTAAAACCTGGATCCTGGAAGATATGGCAGCCAGTGACCCAGAGCCTTGCCCTCTTGAGGAATCCCCTTTTTACCTTTGTCCACCATGGCCCCTTCTCGTATCCGATATCGCCCCACATTTCTCTCCATTCACACCTCCAGCCTGTAACCCCACCACCTTTTGTGCCTTTGCTGTCTCTGCAGAGCACCCAGTGGTGTTTGAAGTTCCTGTGGCTACCGCTGCTCATGTCGTCCTGCCATGTTCCCCAGGCTCAGCCTGGGCATCCTGTGTGTGGCACCAGCCCAGCGGAGTGACTGCACTTACCCCCCGGCGGGATGGGCTAGAGGTGGTGATATCCCCAGGGTCCATGGGCGCTTATGCCTGTGAATGTCAGGAGGGGGGGGGTAGCCCGGGTGGTAGCCGCTTACAGCTTGGTATGGGACAGCCGGCAGGGCCCCCCCAGCCAGGCTCACACAGTGGGGGCGGGACTGGCCGGCTTCTTCCTGGGGGCTCTCGTAGCATCCCTGACTCTCCTCCTGATCGGTCGGCGTCAGCAGCGCCAGAGACAGAGGGAGCTTCTGGCTAGAGACAAGGTGGGCTTGGACCTAGGGGTCCCGCCCTCTGGGACCACTAGCTACAGCCAGGACCCTCCCTCCCCCTCTCCTGAAGATGAGCGTCTGCCCCTGGCCCTGGCCAAGAGGGGCAGTGGCTTTGGTGGCTTCCCTCCACCCTTCCTGCTTGATCCTTGCCCAAGCCCAGCCCACATTCGGCTCACTGGGGCTCCTCTAGCCACATGTGATGAAACATCCATCTAGGGCCGGGCAGGTGACCACTAGTGTATGAGTGACCACCAGAATGGAGTGACTGCTGGGACTCTGGGGGTCACTGGGCATGGACAGTCATCATGGCGTCTGAGTTCGCCTTGGCCCTTGAGTGGTCACGTGAACTTCACTGAGGTCTGCCCTCTCTGGGCCTGAACGGGCTCAGGGCCAGGCCATTGGCTGACTCCCATGGGAGATCAGAACTGCTCTTACAGTAATCGGGACCTTTCCCACCCTTGTCCTCTAAACCCCCATGACCCCTTCAGCCCACTCTCTTGGGCCCATTAGTCTGGGGCTGGGGCCCAGGACATCGCTATGACTTTGCCTTCTGGTTGGGCCCTGGCCAGAAGGAGGAGCTGTGGAAGGGGCTGAGGGCTAATGTGTGCTGAGTCCTTTGCTGTTTCTCCCAGTTTATCTGATTCTTTGTGGGGAGCGCATGATCCCCAAACTGCAACATGGAATCTCTCTGATCTAATCCACTGAGATCTCCTCCCAAACCAGTCCCCCTTCTTCTGTGAAAAGCATGTGTAAATACATGGGTGTTCGTAGGAGACCTGGCCACAATTGCACGGGTGACTGGGCCCCTGCTCGGGCGTGTTCCCGGGGGGCCGACAGGGGCAGGTAGGAATGCGGGCACCACCTGCAGAACTTGATACCCTGTAGCCAGTGAAGGAACGGCTCTCCTTTCTAAAAGGAAACAAACCACTGCCCTGTCTCCATCACCTCCCACAACTCTTCTGTTGAGTAGAGAAAAACTCCCAAAGTGACCTTCTGGGAAGGTGGGAAAGGACGTGATACGTGTGACCCCATCCTTCTCTTTGTTTTTGCCTCCTGGCTGCCACCACTGCCATGCACAGCTCTCTTCCTCTGGCTGGACCCCTTCCCTTGGCTCCTATTTAGAATGTCGTGAAATTTATTGTCACTATCAGGGGATGACAGAAGGGGAACAGTCATAGGGAATACAAGCTACACAAAGATAGGTTTGTGTCAGTGACTTTACTCAGGTTGACACCCTTGCTCTAAAGCCGGAGTTCACCTGGGGTCCACGGACTCCCTGAAACCATATGCAAAATGCCTTCCGTACATGTGTGTCTGTATTTTTCTGGGGGTGGGGGGAGGGTTTGTGGCTCTCATCAGATTCTCAAGCCTTAATGGAGTTAAAGGACCACTGCTCCAAGGTCACCAGGTGTTGGCCAGGCTGAGGTGGTGCCACTGAGTGGCAGTTCTTCCTGCCCCACCACACCTGCCCTGTGGCCAGCCCCTGGACGGGCAGCTGCAGGACACCCTCTTGTGTCTCCACTCCCTGGAAGGTGGGCTCTGCACATCTTTGAAGGCACTGTCAATTCGCACCAAACTTAAAGACCCCTTCCTGCTTCACGACTCCCAGATGTTCTGGGCTTCTGCTCAGTTCCAGTCTTGGCCCGTGTATGTGCCTCATTCATCCCTGGTCAGGGGCCCCCTTGAGCTCCGTGAGTGGTCCAGCCTTTCCCGGTTGACCTTTTCAGCTCCACTTTTCCTTGGCAGCAGCCTGTGAATTACTCGAGAGTCCCCTTGGTTCTGGATGATCAGTGGTTTTACCACTAATAAGCGTATGATCTTCGGCAGGTCATCTAACCTAGGACAACGGTTCACTCCTTTGTAAAGCGGGGATGGTAACACCTACCTCAGGGTTGCTGCAAGGGTTAAATGAGAGAATGTATAAACAATAAAGCACTGTCTATTTCAGCAGAGGCTGTTATTGTAAAAATTGGCCGGAATCATATAGCTTACCCCATCTGATAGCCATGACACATGCAGTCACTTTAAGCCCCATTTGATGGGAGGGGGGTCGTTGCCTCACACAGACATCGTGTCCTGGGTCATCTCTGTCAGACCTTAGCTGCCAGTGTCTAGGCTTTGGGAGGCAGGGCCTGTGGGTTTTAGAATCCTCAGATGTGTCTGCTTTTAGTGACCTGGTTCGTCTTTCTACGCAGGCGCAGAGGAAGACTCCACGTTCTTTGGTTTATCCTCACATCCCTCCACTCTCTTGAGGGGATAAGTCAGTTTCATTTTGGGAGAGGAAGGGGAAATGGGAAACTTCGGAGGGGCCTGGGGGCTCTGGGGAAAGAGTTTTCTAAGAAAAGGAGTGGGGAGACCAGATCACCATGGATGTGGGGCATTTGGTCCCTGGACAGTGGCTCTGGTTGGAGGAAGATGGGATGAGGAAGGTAGGAAGACTGAGGAAGGATGGAAACAGGCTTGAAGGGAGGAGAGCCACATCTTAGGCTGCGGGAAGTTCAAGCCCCAAGAGAAGTGATAGCATGGAAGTGTGGAACCAAGGACATAGCGTGAATAACTGACTGCATTATCTCTGTGCTGTGGTGGGTGGGGAGGTGGGTGGGATGGGGGAGGATCCGTGGATAAGGGAGCTGAGGAAGGTGCAGGGTTTTTGCAGGTAGACTTGTGAGGATTCTGGCAACCAGAGACCCGACGGGCTCTCATACCTCAAAGCAGCCAGCGGGAAGGTGGGGGAAGGGGCTCTTGTTTGTGTTTAACTGCCGACTCTAAAGATTGCTCACTAACTGGTCCTCACTCTTAAATTCTCCTCTGTTTTTTGGCTCTGGTCCCTGGGCCATAAATTGTGACTCTTAGCTTGTCACGCCTAAGAAGTGGTCTGCTGCCACCCACATGACCTTACTGAAAATAGAGCCAGACAGAGATGCTCACTGTTGGCTCTTAGGAACCAAGCAGATTCCACCACATCACTGGCCCTAACCCAACAGGAGGAAGACTCACATCCATTCCCAGGAGTCTCCTGACTTCCCTCCCTTTCGCCAGCAACCCCGCAAGGCGGCCCCAGCGATGGCAGGAAAACCTCCTTTTGGTATCTGCTTGGCCCTGTCCCTCCTGGCTACTCTGCCCCAGTCAGAGGGGGGCAGTCATGGTTACAAGAGACCTTTCTTGGTCAACTACGCAGAGATCCTGTCTCAAGGGTGTGGGGATAGGGCTTGCCTTTTTGGCTGTAGCAGAGCCGAAGTTGGAATTCTTAAAGATCCCTTTCACCAATTGGAGGAAAAACTAGCAATAAAATCAGTAAGAGATTTTTCTGCAGTTTTTAAATTCTCCCTTATGCGGCCCAGGGACAGACCTCTCTGTGACATGGCAATTTGTGTGGCCAGGAGACAGCAGCTGTGGTCGCAGAGCAGGCCGTCTGGCTGGATGTAAAGCACCAGGTCCTGGCTGAGGGAGGGAAGCACAAGCCCTTCAGAGGGCGCTCTGGCTCCCTGAGCATGTTAGGTGGAGCCAGGGGTGCCTGGAAGGGCCACGATGAGGGGTCTTTCAGAGGGCTGCCACAGGTCCTGGGGAGAAATAGTACGAAACAGGAATTCTCTTTCTCTCTTTTTCCCAAGGGTTCCCAGCCCACGGGACTGGTGTTTTTCCTAGACGCACTGGGCCTGGGGTTTAGGGCTGCAGATAAATCCAGATCTGCCCGCTGGTGGGCATGGTGCCCCTCACCTGTGTCAGAGTTGGCACCCCTGTCGTGGTGTCCAAGGCTTGGCAGCGCTGAGCCACGAGCTAGAGTCTTTCACCACCTGCACTTGGAACTATGACTGGGGCAGGAGGAGTCAGCAACTGATGCCGGATCCAAAGACCAGCCTGCCACCCACCGTCAGCTTCAGGCAAGGCCTTTGGGTTGAGGAGGCTGCGAATAAAATTCTCCTGGGGCTGAGGTCCACTCCAAGGACTCTCTGAAGGTTATTGGTTGAGACTGATTAGACCTCCCTGGTCAGAGGTGGAGGAAGAGAACTCATGGGAAAAGCCCAGCTTCAGGCCTTTGCAGGCTTGCTTCGTATCTGTCAGGCGACGGGTTCTAACCTCCTTAGATGGCCTCGCTGGAATTCTCCCCTCCAAGCCCCAAAATGCACAGACTTGGCACGCCTTCTCAGCACTCTCCTTTCAAGACACGCGTAGTCATGGGTGTTAGGTAAGCTTCTGTTCCTTCCTTTACAAGAAGTGAGGAGGCAGAGGTGGCCTTTCCCTGAGGAGAAAGTACAGATGGCAGTTTTGTTCTTTAAGTGATAGAGAACTGTGCCCTGCCTCCATGCAGCTCCTCCAGAAGTTACCCAAACTCTGGTGGGATAGGAGGTATGAATGCTGAAGACAGGCATGGCCATGAAGACATGGGGAGGTGTCCCCATGCTTTGGTGTGGAAGGATGGAGCTGCCTATCCTTTGTGTGGACTGGGATGGTCAGCTTCTCATCCACAATCATAGGAACCAGTTTCTTCCCTTTGCTGGGAGCTGCACGAGTGCCCTGAATTCATACTCGGTTCTAGGGTCAAGGATGGCCATCCCCAAGATGGCTGAGATGAAGGATGGCCATCCCCAAGATGGCTGAGATAGAATATTTTCCCGCTGAAGTAACTGGGAACTCAGAACCAGGTTAACTTGATCTATAGAAATAAAATAGTATTTTGAACCTATGAGTTTGTGGAGAAAAATTCCTGTGTACTATAATACCAGCATTTCTAAAAATTAGCTGAGTCCAGAGCACCTGCATTATGAACTGGCCCAAAGGTTGAGAGAGCAGAACTGACTGTAGACAGGGTTGAGTGACCACTAGTCTGAAATGAAGAAAGAGGGCCTTCTTCCAGCCCTTTGCAGGAGCCATTCCCCCTAATGTAGCATGTCCCCAAACATGTCCACCAAATTCATCTTTTCTCAGATTCAAAACCCATCACCTCTCTGATCTACTGCATTGAGGCAATTTGTCCAGTTTCATTACAAAACTGTAGCTTACCAAAAATTGTGATCACCCTGTAATTCCCAAGTAACTGTCCTTAGAAAGAAGGACATGTGAACCTGTAGGGTCCTAGTTGACAAACCAAGGGGGCCACGTGCTACTTCTACAAAGGTTTAGGACAAAGCTACCCTTAGGAGCTTTGCTAGATAAGTTCTTGTTCTTTTGGATATTTTTTGCTGTACTAGTCAGGACAGGCTTTGTTATGCTGCAGTAACATACAACCCCATATTCTTAGTGGTATAAAACAACTTATTTCTTACACTACTTAGAAAAGAAGGTTCTGACGTGCTACAACATGGATTAGCCTTGGGGACATTCTGATAAGTGAAATAAGCCAGTCACAGAAATACTGTCTGATTCCAAGAATAGGAGGTACTAAGAGTGGTCAGATTCACAGAGACAGTAAGTAGAATGGTGGTGGGCTGGGGGGGTGAGAGGAATAGGGGGTTCACTGTTTAATTAGATATATGGTTTCAGTTTTACAAGGTGGAAAGAGGTCTAGAAATGGATGGTGGTGATGGTTGCACAGTCTTATGAATGTATTTAACACCACCGAACTCTACACTTAAAAATGGTTAAGATGGTAAGTTTCATGTTATGTGTATTTTACCACAGTTTAGAAAATTGGAGGGAAAAAAAAAGCGAGACATAGTCCCTGCCCCCTTGAAGCTCTTAATTCAGTGGGGAGGCTGATGAGCGAGCAGATAACCAGACACTTTGAAAAGCACTATTGTGAAGGTGTGTCCCAAATTGCAAGCAAGCTGTAGACACCTCGTTCTGCTTACATCTCTTCTTAACTGGCAGCTTGAGAGACAGACTTGAGACACCAACGAAGAGGCTTTGTACCGCTAATTGGAATCCCCTGAAGCTGCTGAGATGGTCTAGTTTAGTGTAGTCTAGTGGGACCTATATATGCCTTACAAGGTCTTTTTTGTGTCTCCAAGTTTATATAATAAAGCTTTAAAAAAAACAAGATGTATTTCTATCTCTGAAACTGGCAAAGGTTAAAAAAATGATGGATGATACTTCGTGCTGACAAGGGTTTGCGGGGAATTGAGTATTCTGTCCTAGAGTTGGAAGTGAAATTAGCACAAACTACAGAAGGCGTCTGGTGACATCTATCAAAAACTTTAAAATGTACATATCATTTGACTCAATAATTACACTTCTGAAAATTTATTTTAAAGAAATGAGTATACGTGTGCAAAGATGTATTCTTAAAGTTTTTGTTTTAGTATTAATTATAAGCCAAAAATATTAGAAAAAATACAATTATTCAACAAGAGAAATTTGGTTAAATTAGACCCAATATTGAGTTGAAAAAATGTCCACAACATTGTTAAGTCTTAAGAAAGGGAAAAAAATCTTAAAGAAAAGAGCAGCACCTGAGAGCTAGGAGCTGGCCTGGCATCACACTAGTTCTCCTGTTTCACAGCACCGACATCCAGTAAGGGCGCTTGGCGATGAATGGAGTGAGACAAAAACAAGACCACTCCATCATGATGTCTGCACACAGACGAAACTAGAACATTGTCCAAATCACAGAAATGACCAAGCATCTCCCTGTCCCTGCTAAGAGAAGTGACTGCTACTTCTTTACCTATTCCTCACCAGCTTTAGTCAGCTCTCCTTCCAGGTGATATTTATTAGGGTACCCAAGCATAGAATTACGCTGCTTCCTGGCAACATCCCATCTCGAGCGAAGCCCTGCTTCCTTAAACCCCGCTGCAAACCACCTAGCACGAGAGCGTAAGTGTTGTAGGTTCTTCCTAACAGCCTCCTACTGAAACAGCCCGCACTTCCATGCCTTGTGCCTTCTCCCTCACTGCAGAGTGTCAAGCGCAACCACTTGCTGGTGATCTTTGGCTGGAGAGCAGTGACAATCAGTACATCATTATTGTTTGTAATAGGCATATATTTCCACTACCACACAAATATGGAATGACACACACCAAGCTATTAGCA